ATACATCTATAAAGACAGCCCATCATCTCCCAAGCCAAGCCATGCACCCCACAACCTCCCTTCTTCCCCGGACGCTATGGATCCCTCTCCTGTGCTCCTTTTCGCTGTCTTAGCTTCGCTGCTGCTGCTGCCTCCGTTCCCTTCTCTGCGGGCAGACTCCTCTTCCTCCTCGGACGATGTTGTGGACCGAGAGGCTTTGCTATCGCTAAAAGCTTCCATGAAAAGCGATCCCTCCGGGACTCTTGTTTCATGGAACGAAAGCTCCGACCTGTGCCAGTGGCGCAGAGTCGTCTGCAATAGCCGAAGCAGAGTCTCGATTCTGGATCTACAGGGTCTCGGACTGACAGGTTCCGTCGGTCCTTACCTCGGCAATCTCTCCTACCTCCGGTTTCTCTACCTGCAAGACAACCAGTTATCCGGCGAGCTCCCTCACCAGCTCGGTGGCCTTCTTCACCTGGAGGTCCTGAACGCGAGCTCCAACCTCATCGGCGGCGCGATTCCGGCAAATCTTAGTAGGTGTTCCAATCTCACCACCCTCGATCTGTCCCAGAATGCAATCTCAGGAAGCATTCCGTCCGATCTCGAACTGCTCTCCAAGCTCCAAGTCCTGAAACTAGGCAAGAACCAGCTCACCGGAACTATTCCGTCAGCCATCGGGAACTTGTCTTCTCTCACCACATTGAATCTAGGAACCAATTCTCTTGGCGGACCAATTCCAGGCGACTTAGGCCGCCTCCATGCTCTGAAAGTTCTGCAGATCGCCATCAACGATCTCGCCGGTCAGGTTCCTCCGACGCTGTACAACCTATCCTCGCTCGTTTTCTTAGACTTTGCGTCCAACGACCTGTTCGGTGAAATACCCGGTGATGTCGGATATCGACTCCCCAACCTCGTCGACTTCCACTTCTGCTTCAACCGGTTCACCGGCCTAATTCCACCATCACTACACAACGTCACCAGCATCCAAAGCCTTCGCTTCTCTCACAACTTCCTTCACGGTCCGATTCCTCCAGGGCTGGGCAATCTCCGTAATCTGGTCATGTACAACATCGGCTTCAACCAGATCGTTTCCTCCGGCGCCGATGGGCTCGAGTTCATCACCTCCCTCACAAATAGTACCCGACTTGAGCATCTTGCCATCGATGAAAACCTCTTGGAGGGCGTGATCCCGGAATCGGTCGGCAATCTGTCAGGCCGTCTCTATAAGTTCTACTTGGGTGCGAACAAGATATTTGGTAGCATTCCAGCTTCCATAGGCCAGCTTTCTAGCCTCGCTTTGCTGAACATGAGCCACAACTCCATCTCCGGAGGAATCCCGCCTGAGGTTGGCCAGCTCAGGCAGCTCAAGATGCTGGGTTTGGCCGACAACAGGCTGTCGGGAGAAATTCCGGCAGCTATCGGAAACCTCACCATGCTTACCGTGCTCCAACTGTGTGGGAATCAGTTGGAGGGAAGCATTCCGTCCACCCTCGGCCAGCTGCAGCAGTTGCAGTCCGTAGATGCCTCCAGCAACAAGCTTGAAGGTAGCATACCCAGGGAGCTCTTCACCCTCTCAACCCTCACCTCTCTCCTGAATCTATCCAAGAACTCTCTCTCAGGGCCACTGCCCGAGGAGATCTCTGATCTTGTAAACGTCGTTGCCATCGACCTCTCCGGCAATATGTTGTCCGGAAACATCACGCCCTCGATCGGAAACTGCAGGAGCTTGCAGATTTTGTCCATGTCAAACAACTCTTTCTCTGGACCAATTCCTGATGCTATAGGAGACCTGAAAGGCTTACGGAGCATCGACCTCTCCCTCAACCAGCTTTCTGGGCCGATACCAGAGAGTCTAGGAGAACTCGAAGGACTCGAATTCTTGAATCTTTCTTACAACCATCTCGAAGGAGTTGTTCCCTCCGACGGTGTCTTCAGAAACCTTTCCGCTGTCCATCTCGAAGGAAACAGTAAGCTTTGCAGGTCATCGGCATGCACGAACACCAGAAACCGTTCCAAACTGCCTCTTTTCTCCATTGTCATTGTGACTGCATTTATAGTGTTTCTCATGGCGAGCACCATATGCGTCTTCTTTGTCAAAACAAGAACGAGGGCCGCGAAGATTTCCACCATGACCGACTCAACGAGAGGGCAGCACCCGCTAATTTCTTATGAGGAGCTCCACCGAGCTACTGAGAGTTTTCATCCAAGAAATCTCGTCGGCACCGGTAGCTTTGGCTCCGTGTATAAAGGAGTACTGAGAGATGGAATGCAGGTGGCAGTGAAGGTACTGAATCTGGCGGCAGGCGGCGTTCTGAAGAGCTTCGTGGCCGAATGCGACGCTCTGAGGAATGCCAGGCACAGGAACCTGGTGAAGCTCATAACTGTCTGCCTGAGCTTGGATCCCAGAAACGACGAGTTCCGAGCGCTGGTGTACGAGTTCATGGGAAATGGAAGTTTGGAGGAATGGATCAGAGGTAAGAGGAGGCATGAGGACGGCAGTGGGCTGAGTCTCGTGGAAAGATTGGACGCTGCCATCGATGT